TCCTTCCCTTTTCTTCTCTCTTTCCCTTCTTTCTTCTTCTTCTTTCCTTCCCTCTCCCTTCTCCCTTTCTCTTCCCTCCCCCCTTCTTTCCCCTTCTCCCCTTCCTTCCCTCCCCCCTCTCTTCCCCCCCCTCCCTTTCCTCCTCCCCTCTTTTCCCTCCTTCCCCCCTTTCTTCCCCCCTCCCCCCTCCTCCTCCCTTTCTTCCTTTCTTCTTCTTTCCCTTTCTCTCTCTCTTTCCTTCTTCTCTCCCCTCCTCCTCTCTTCCCTTCTTTTTCCTCCCTTTCCCCTTCTTTCTCTCTCCCTTTCCTTCTCTCCCTCTTTTCCTCTTCCCCTCCCTCTCCTTTCTTTCTCCCTTTCCCTTCCCCTCCTTCTTTCCTTTCTCCCTCTTCCTTTCCCTCTCCTTTCTCTCCTTCTTCCCTCTCCCTCCCCCTCCCCTCCTCTCCTTCTCTTTTTCCCTCCCTCCCCCCTCCTTTCTTCCCTTCCCCCCCCCTTCCCTTCTCTCCTTCCTCTCCCCCCCTCCTCTTCCTCTCCTCCCTCTTTCTTTCTTCTCTCTTTTCCTCCTCTTCTTCCCTTTCTCCCTCTTTCTTCCTCCTTTCTTTCTCTTTCCTCTCTCCCCCCTTCTCTCTCTCCTTCTTTCCCCCTCCCCTTTCCCTCTTCTCTCTTTCCTCCCCTTTCCCTCTCCCTTCCTTCCCCTTCCCCCTCTCCTCCTCCCTCTTTCTCCCTCCTTCCCCTTTTCATTTTCTTCCCCCCCCCATCTCTCTCCTCTCTTCCCCTCCTTCCCTTCTTCCCTTCCTCTTCCTCCTTCCTCTTCCCCTTCCTTCCTCACTTCCTCTTTTCTCCCCTCTTTTCTCTCCCCCTTCCCCTCTTTCCTCTTCCTCCCCCCTCCCTCTTTCTTCTCCCTTTCCCCCTTTCTCCCTTCCCCTTTCTCCTCCCCTTTCCTTCCTCCTTCCCTCCTTTTCCCCTTCTCCCCTTTCCTTCTTTTCCCTTTCCTTTCCTCTTCTCTCCTTTCTCCCCTTCCTCTCTCTCTCCTTCTCCTCCCCTCTTCCCTTCCTCCTCCTTTCTTTTCCCCTTCCCCTCTCTTTCCTTCCTTCCTCCCCTCTCTTCTTTCTTTTCCTTTCCCTTTTCCCTCTTCTTCTCTCTTTCCCTCCCTTTCCTTCCATTTTTCCCCTCCGTCCCTTCTTTCCCCCCCCCCTTCCCCTTTCCCATTCCTTCTCTTTCTTTTTTTTTCTCCTTCCCTTTCTCCTTCCCTCCCTCCCTTCCTCTTCCCTCCTCCCCTCTTCCCTTCCTCCCCTTCCTCCCTCCTTTCCCCTCCCCCCCCTCCCCCCCCCTTCCTTTCTCTTCTCTTTTCCCTCCTCTTTCTTCCCTTCTCTTCCTCTTTCTTTCTCCCCCTTTCTTTCTTTCTCTCTTCTCTCCTTTCCCCTCCTCTCTTCCTCCTCCCTTTCTTCCTCCCTTCCTTCTTTTCCCCCTCTTCTTCCCTCTCCTTTCCCCTCCCTTCCCTCTCTTCTCTTCCTTTTCTCTCTCTTTCCTCTTCTTCCTCTTTCCCTCCCCTCCCCCCTCTCTCTCCCCCTCTCCCCTTTCCTCCTCTCTTTTCCTCTTCCTTCTTCCTCTTCCCTCTTCCCCTCCCTCCCCTCCTTTTTCCTCTTCTTCCTTTCCTTCTTTTCCCCTTTCTTCTCCCCCCCCTTCCTCTTTCTCTCCCTTTCCCCTTTTCCTTCTCTCTCCCCTCTTTCTCCCCCCCTTTCTCCTCCTCCCCTCCCCCTCTTCTTTCCCTCTCTTCCTTCCCTTCTTTTTCTTCCCCTTCCCTTCCCCCTTTCCCTTTTCTTTTCCCCCCTCTTCCCTTTCCTCTCCCCTTTCCCTTTTCCCCTCCCTTCTCCCTCCTCCTTCCTTTTCTTTTCCTTTTCCCCCCTCCCTTCCTCCCCTTCTTTCCCTCTCCCTCCCCTCTCTTCTTTTCCCTTCTCCCCCCCTCTCTTTCTTTTTCCCTTTCCCTTCCTCCTTCCTTTCTTCTTTTCTCTTCTCTTCTCCTCTCTTCTCTTCCTTCCCCTCTCCTTCCCCCTCATTTTCCTTTCTCCCTTTTCTCCTCTCCTTCCCTTCTCTCCTTCCCCCCCCTCTTTCTTTTCCCCCCTCTCTTCCTTTCCTCTTTCCTTCTTTCCCTTTCTCCTTTCCTCTTCCTCCTCTTCTCCCCTCCTCCTCACCTCTTCCCCCTCCCTCTCTCCCTCCCCCCTCTTCTTTCTCCTTCTCCTTCTCGTTCCCCTCCTTCTCCTTTCCCCCTTTCCTCCTCTTCCCTTTCTTCCTCTCTCTCCTTTTTCTCCCTCCTCCTCCTTTCCTCCCCTCCCCCCCTTTCTCCTCCTTCTTTCCCCTTTCCTCTCTCCTTCCCCCTTCCTTTTCTCTTCCTTTCTCTCCCTTTTCTCCCCTCCTTTTCCCTTTTCCTCCTCCTTCTCCTCCTTCCTTTCCCCTCTCCCTCCTCCTTTTCCTCTCTTTTCTTTCCCCCCTCCCCCCCCCTCCCTTCCTCCTTCTTCCCTTCCATCTCTTTCCCTTTCCTTTTCCTTTCCTTTCTCCCTTCCTCTTCCCTCCTCTTCTTTCTCCCCTTTCCTCCCCTTTCCTCTCTCCCTTTCCTCTTCCTCTCTTTTCCTCTTTCCTTTTCTTTCCTCTTTCCTTCCCCCTCTTTTCTTCTTCTTCCTTCTTTTCCCTCCCCTCTTTTTCTCCCCTCCTTTCTCCTCCCTTTTCTTCTTTTCTTTTTCTCTTTTCCTCTTTTCCTCTTCCTTTCCCCCTTCGCTCTCACACCCCTCTCCTCTCCTTCCTCTTCTTCTCCCCCTTCTCTCCTCCTTCCCCCCCTCTTCCCCTTCCCCTCCCTCTTCTTCCTTTCTTTTCCTCTTTCCCCCCCCTTCTTCCTCCTCCCCTTCTCCCTCCTTCCCTCCCTTTTCCTCCCCTTCCCTCCTCCTCTTCTTTCCTTCCTTTCTCCCTCCCCCCTCTCCCCTTCCCCCTTTCCTTCTTTCCTTCTTTTTCTTCTCCCTCCCTTTCTTCCTTCTCTCTCTTCTTTCCCCTTTCTTTCCTCCCCTTCTTCTTTCTTCCCCTCCCCCCCTCCCCTTTTTCCCCCCCTCTCTTTTCTTCCTTTCCTTTTCCCCTTCCTTTCCTCCCTTCTTCTCCCTCCTTTCCCCTTCTTCTCTCTCCCTCTCTTCCTTCCCTCCCCTCCCTCCCTCTTCCCCCCCTCCCCCCCCTCTCCCTCCTCTTTCCTCTCCCTCCCCCTCTCCTTCCCCCCCTCCCCCCCCTTTCTCCTTTTCTCCCCTTCTTCTCCCTTTTCCCCTCTTCTTCTCCTTTTTCCTTTTCTTCTTCCTTTCTCCTTTCTCCCCCCCCTTTTTCCTTTTCCCTCGTCCCCCCTCCTCCTCCCTTTTCCTCCTTTCCCTTCCTTTCCCTCCTTCTCCTTCCTCCCTTCCCCCCTTCCCCCTCCCCCCCTCCTTCTTCTCCTTCCCCTCTCCCCCCTTCTTTCTCCCTTCTCCTTTTCTTCCTCCCCCCCTCCCCCTCCCTTCCCCTCCTCTCCTTTTCCTTTTCTCCCTTCCTTTTTCCCCCCTCTTCTCCCCCCCCCTTTCCTCCTCCCTTTCTTCTTTTCCCTCCTTCCTTTCTCTTCACCCCTCTTCCTTCTTCCCTTCCTCCTTTCTCCCCTTCTTTCCCTTCCCTTTTTCCTCCCCCTCTCTTTCTCTCTCCCCTCTCTCTCCTTCCTTCCCTCCCCCCCCTCTTCCTTCTTTCCTCTCTCCTTCTCCCCTTTTTCCCTTCTTCCCCTTTTCCTTCTTCCCTCCCTTCTTCCTTCCCCCCCCTTTCCCCTCTTTCTCCCCCTCCCCTTTCCTTTTCTCTTCTTCTCTTTCCCTTTTCCCTCTTCCCCCGTCTTTCTCTTCCCTCTTCCTTTCCTTTCTTCCCTTTCTTTCTCTCTTCTCTCTCTCTTTCCTTTCCCCCTCCCTCCCTTCTTTCCTTCCTTTCCCCTCCCCTTTTTCCTCATTCTCCTCCTTTTCTCTCTTTCCCCCCCCCTTCTCCCTTTCCTTTCCCTTTCCCCCCTCTTCTCCCCTTCTCTCCCCTTTCTTTCCGTTTCTTTCCTTTCCCTTCTCCCTCCCCCCCTCCTTCCTTCCCCTTTTCCCCTCTTCCTTCTTCCCTCCCTTCCTCTCCCCTATCCTTCTCTCCTCCCCCTTTCTCTCTTCTCCCTCCCCCCTTCTCCCCTCTCCCTTTCTTCCTCCTCCCTTCCTCTCTCTTCTCTCCCCCTTTCCCCCCCCTCCTCCTTTTCTCCTCCCCTCCCCTCTTCTTTTCCCCTTCTTCCCCCCTTCCTTCCCTTCCCCCCTCTCTTCCCCCCCCCCTTCTTCCCTTCTTTCCTCCCCTCCCTCTTCCCCTCCTTTTTCCTCTTCCTCTTCCTCTCCTCCCTCCTTTCCCCTTTCCCCTCTTTTTCCCCCTCTCTTCTCCTTCCTTTCCCCTTTTCCTTTTCTTCGCCTCCCCTCCTTTCCCCCTCCCTTTCGACTCTCCCTCCTCTCCCCTTTCTTCCCCTTTCTCTCTCCCTTCCCCTCCCCCTTCCCATTCTCCCTCCTTCCTTCCCTACTTCCCCTTTTCTCCTCCTCTTCTTCTCCCTCTCCCTCTCCCCTCTTTTTTTCTTCCTTTTCCCCCTTCCTCCTCCCTCTTCCACCCTTCTCTCTCCTTCCCCCCCCCCCCCCCTTCCCTCTCTCCCTCCTTTTTCTTTCCCCCTCCTCCTCTTCCTCTCCCCTTTTTCTTCCTATTCCCTTTTCTCCCTCCCCTTTCTTTCCCCTCCCTCTCTCCTCCTCCCTTCCTTCCTTTCTCCTCTTCTCTCTCCCTTCCTCCCCTTCCCCCCCCCCTCCCTCTTCTCTCCCCCCCCCCCCCCCCCCCTTTTCTTCTTCTTTTTCTCTCCTCTTCTTCCTTTCTCTACCCCTTTCCCCCTCCTTCTCCACTCTTTTCCCTCCTTCCTCCTCTTCCTCTTCTTCCTCCTCCTCTCTTCCCTCCCCCTCCCCCTTCTCTTTCCTTTCCTTCTCTTCTCCCTGCCCCTTCTCTTCTCTTCTCCCTCCCTCCTCCCCTCTCCCCCTTCTTCCTTCCCCCTCTTCTTCCCCCTCTTTTTTCCTCCTCCCCTCCCCCCCTCTCTTCCCCCCCTTTCCCCCCTCTTCCTTTCCTTCCCTCCTTCCCTTTCTTTCTCCCTCTCCTTTTTTCCTTCCCTCTTCTCCTTTTCTCCTCTTCCTCTCCCCTTTCTCCTTCCTTTCTTCCCCTCTTCCCCCCCCTTCTTCTTTTCTCCCTTCCTTCTCCCCCCTGTTCCTCTTCCCCCCTTTTCTCTCCTCTCTTCCTCCTCTTCTTCCCCCTTTTTCTCACTCTCCCTTCCTTCTCCCCTGCCTCTTTCCTCCTCTTTCCCCTCCCCTTTCCTTCCCTCCTCCCCTTTCCTTCCCTCCCTCTTTCTTCTTCTCCCCCTCTTCCCTCCCCCCTTCTCCCTTTCCCCCTTTCCCACCCTCCTTTCCCTCTTCCTTTCCTCCCTCCCTCCCTCTTCCCCCCTCCCTCCCTCCTCTCCCCCCTTTTTCTTTCCCTTTTCCTCCTCCCTCTTCTCTTCCTCTTCTCGCCCTCCTACTCTCTTCTCGCTTCTCCCCCCCTCCCTCCTTTTCCCCTCCCTTTCCTTTCCCCTTCCCTCTTCTTCCCTCCCCTCCCTTTTCCATTCTTCTCCTTTTCCCTTTCTTTCTCCTCCCCTTCTCTTCCCTTCTTCCTTCCCTCTTTCCTCCCTCTTCCTCTCCCCCCCCCTTCTTTCCTTCCTTTCACCCCTTCTCTTCCCTTCTTCCCTTCCCCTCTTTTTTCCCCTCTCCCTCTTTTCCCCCTCCTTCCCCCCCTCTTTCTTCTTCCCCTCTCTTTCCCCCTTCCCTTCCTCCCTTCCTTCTTTCCCTTCTTCTCCTTCCTTCTCTTTTCTTTTTTCCTTCTTCTTTCTTCTTCCTCTCTCCCCCCTCCCTCTCCCCTCTTTCTTTCTTCTCCCTCTTCCTCTTCTTTTCTCTCTTTTCCCCTTTCCCTTCTTTCCTCCTCCCCCTTCCTCCTCATTCCTCTTTCTTTCCTCTCTTTCCCTTTCTCTCTCCTCCCCTTTTCTTTTCTCCCCTCCTTCTCTCCTCCCCTTCCCTCCTTCCCCTCCCTTTTCTCTCTCTTCTTCCTTCCCCTCCTCCCTCTCTCTCCTTTCCCCCCCTCCCCTCCCCTTCTTCCCTCCCCTTTCCTCTTTCCCTTTCCTTCCTTTTCTTTCCCTCCTTCTTTTACCTCTCCCTCCTCCCTCTCCCCCCCTTCTTTTCCTCCCATCCTCCTCTCTTCCTTCTCCCCTCTCTTTCTCTTTCCTCTCCTTGCCCTCCTTCTTCCCCCTCTTCTCTTCCCTTCCTCTTTCTTCTTTCTACTCTTTCCTCCCCTTCTTCTCTTCTTCCTCCTCTCTTCTCCTTCCCCTCTCTTCTTTTCTTCCCCTCCCACTTCTCCTTCCTCTGCCTCCCTCCCTTCTCCCTTTCTTCTTCGCCTTCCCTCCTTCCTTTTCTTCCCCCCTTCCTCTTCCTTCCCCTTTTCCTCTCCCCTTCCCCCCTTCCCTTCTCTCCCCCCCCCCTCCTTCTCTTTCCTCCCCCTATTTCTCTCTTCTTCTGTTTTTCTCTCTTCCCTCCCTTCTTTCCCCCCCCTTCTCTTCTTTCTTCTCCTCTTTTCCTTCTCTCCTTCTCCCTCCCCCCCTTTCCTTCCTTCCCCCTTTCTCCTCTCTTCCCCCTTCCTTTTCCCTTTCTTCCCCCCTCTCTCCTTTTCCCTCCTTTTTTCCCTCTTTTCTCTCCCTCCTTTCTGCCTCCCCTCCCCCCTCTTTCTCCCCTTCCCTCTTCCTTTCCCTTCTCTTCTCTTTCCTCCTTTTCCTTTTTCTTTCTTCTCCTTCCCTCCCTCCTCTTCCCCCCCCTTTTTCCCTTTCCTCTTCCTCTCCCTTCCCTCTTCTCCTTCTTCTTCCTTCTTCCCCCCTTCCCCTCTCTTTCCTTTCCCCCTCCTCCTTTCCTCTCCACTTCCTTTTCTCTTCCCTTCTTCCTTTTTCTTTCTCCTCCTTCTCCCCTCTCTCCCCCCTCCCCTTTCCCCCTTTCCCTCTTCTTCTTCTTTCCTCCTTTTTCTCCTTCTTCCTCGCTTTCTTTTTCCCCTCTTCTCCTCTTTCTCCCTTTCCCCCTCTCCCCTCTTCTTTCCTTCTTCCCTTCCCCCTCCTTTCCTTTCCCTCTCTTCTCCTTTTCCCCTCCCCCCTCTTCTTCCCCCCTCTCTCCCTCTTCTCTTCCTTTCTTCCTCGCCCTTTCTCCCCTCCTCTTCTCCTTTCTTCCCCTCCTCCTTTCCCTTCCTTTCCTTCCTCTCCTCTCTTTCTTCTCCTCTTCCCTATCTCCCCTTCCCTCCTCTCCCTCCTTCCCTTCCCTTCCCTCCCCTCTTTCTCCCTTCCCCCTCTCCTTCCCCCCCCCTCCTCTTCCCCCTCTTCCTTCCTCATCTTTCCCCTCCTTTCTATTCCTTCCCTTCTCCTTCCCCCTTCCCTCCCCTCTCTTTTTCCCTTTCCGCATCTTCTCCTCCCCTCCCTCCTTCTCCCCTTTCCTCCCCCTCTCGATTTCCCCCCTCCTCCCCCCTCCCCCTCCGTTTCTTCTCCCCCTCCTCTCGCCCTTCCCTTTCCCTTCCTCTCTTACCTTCCTCCCTCCTCTTTCCTCTTCCCTTCTTCTTCTCCCCTCTTCCCCTTCCTTCCCCTCTCCCGCCCCCTTCTCCCTTCTTTCCTCTATCCCCTTTCTCCTCCTCCTCCTCCACTTTTCCCCTTCTCTTCCTTCCCCTCTTCCCTTCCCTTCCCTCTTCTCCTTCTCCCCCCTTCTTCCTTCTTCTTCCTCTCTCTTACTTTTCCCTCTTTTCCCCCTCTTCCTTTTCTCCTCTTCCTTTCCTTTTTCTCCTTTCCCCCCTTTACTTCTCCCCCCCCCTCCCCCCTTCACTCCTCTCCTTCCCTTCCCCTTTCCCCTCTCCCCTTCCCTCCGCCCCTCTTTCTCCCTCCCCCCCTTCCTCTTTCCTTCCCCTTCCCCTCTCTTCTCCTTTCCTTCCCCTTTCCATTTCCCTTTCTTCTTCTCCTCCCCTCTCTCTCTTCTCCTTCTTCCTCCCTCCTCCTCTCTCTCCTTCCCCTTCTCCTTTCTCCCTCCCTCTTCTTCTCCTCCCCCTCCTCTTCCCCTCTTCCTCTTTCCCCCTCCTTTTTCCCTCCCTTTTCCCCCTCTTCCTCTTCTCCTTTCTCTCTTCTCCTCTCTCATCCCTATTTCCTTCTCCCTTCTTCCCTTTCCTTCTCCTCCTTTCTCTTTCCCTTCCCTCCTCTTTTCCTTTCCTTCTCCCCTCCTTCTTTTCCATACCGTCTCCCTCCCCTTTCCTCCTCTTCCCCCCTTCTTCCTCCCTCCCCCTTCCTTCCTCCTTTCCTCCCCCCCCCTTCCCTCTTTCTCCTTCCCCCCCTCCTTCTCCTTTCCCTCCTCTTTCTCCTTCTTCTCCTTCCCCCCCCTCCCTTTCCTCCCTTCCTCCCCCTTTCCTTCTTCCCTTTCTCCCCTCTTTCTCTTTTTCTCCCTTCTCCCTCTTTCTCTTCTCCTTCCTTTTCCCTCCCCTCTTCCTCCCCTCCCCTCTTTCCCCTTCCCCCCCTTTTTCTCTCCCTCCCTCCCTCTCTCCCCCTCTCCCTCCCTCTCCCTCTTTCCCACTTTCTCCCCCTTCCTCTCCTTCTTTCTTTTCCCTTCCCCCCCCTTCCCCTCTCCTTCCCTCTTTTTCTTCCCTTCCCCCTCTTCCCCACTTCTCCCCTTTTCCCCCCTCTTCTCCTTCTCTCCCTCCCTTCTTTTCCCTACCTTTCTTCCCCTCCCTGCCCTTTCCCCCTTTTCCCCTCCTTCATTCTTCCACCCCTTCCCCCTTACCTTCCCTTTCTCCCTTCTCTTTTCCTTCCCTCCTCCTTTTCCCCTCTCCTTCTTTCCCACTCCCTTTCTCTCCCCTTCCTCCCTTTCTCCCCCCTCTCCCCCTCTTTCTCCCCTCTCCCCTTCCCCTCCCCTCCCTCCTCCTCCCTTCCCCTCTCTCCTTCCTTCCCCCTCTCCTTTTCCTCCTCTCCTCCCCCCTTTTCCTTTTTCTCTCCCTTCTCCTCCTCCTCCTTTCTCTCCTTTCTTCTCCCTTCCCCCCTTCCCTCCCTCCCCCTCCCCCTCCTCCCCTCCATCCCTTCCTCCTTTTCCTCTCTTCCCCCCCTTTCCTCTTCCTTTCATTCTTCCTTGCTCTTTGTTCTCTCCCCTCCTTCTCCCTCCTCCCTCCCCTTCTCCTCTTCCCTTCTCCCTCTCTCTTTCCCCCCTTCCCCTCCCTTTTCTCCTCCCCCCCTCCTTTCTCCCTCCCTCCCTTCCTTCTTCTCCCCCTTTCTTCCCTCCCCCCCTCTCCTCCTTCCTCCCCCCCCTCTTTCTTTTCTCCCTTCCTTTCCTTCCCTTCCTCTTCTCTTCCTTCCCCTTTTCTTTCTTCTCTTTCTTCCCCCTTCTCTTCCCCTCTTTCCTCCGCTTCCCCCTTTCTTCTTCCCTTCTCTTTCTTATCTCTTCCTTCTTCCTTCTTTCTTTCCATTTCCTCTTCCTTCTTCGCTTATTCTTTCTTCTATCCTCTTTCTCCCTTCCTTTCTTCCTCTTCCTTTTTCTTCTTTTTCTCCCTCCCTTTTTCTTCTTTTCTTCCCCTCCTCCTTCTTCTCACTCTTCGTCCCTTTCCTTTTCCCTTCTTCCTTCCCTCCCATATTTCCTGCTCCCCTCCCTCCCCTTCCCTCCTTCTTCCCCTTCTCCCTTCTTTTCGTCTTCCCTTCTCTATTTTCCCCTTTCCTTGTCCTTCTCCATTTCCTTCCCCCCTCCTCTTCCTCTCTTTCCCTTTTCACCTCCCTTCTCTCCCTCCCCTTCTTTTTTCACCCTTCCTTCCCCTTCCTCTTTTTCCCCTCCTTCTTTCTTTCTTCCTTCCCTTTCCTCTTCCCTTCCCTTCCTTCTTCTCTTTTCCCTCCCTTCCTTTCTCCTTCTCCTTTCTCCTCCTCTTTTCCTCCTCCCCCTTCCCCTTCCTCCTACCCCCTCCTTCCCCCCTTTCTCCCTTTTCTTCTTCCCCTTCATCCCTTCTACTTCTCTCCTTCCTTTTCTTTCTCCTCTCCCCCTCCCCTCTTTCTTTCCTCCTCTTCTTTCCTTCCCCCTTCTTTTCCCCTCTCCTTTTTCTTCCTTCCTTTTCTTTCCTCCTCCCCCTCCTCCCCCCCTTTCTTCCTTTCTTCTCCCCTCCTTCCTTCCTCTTTCTTTTCCCCTCCCTTCCTTTCCTCCTCCTGCCTTCCTCTTTCCCCCCTTCCTTCTCTTCTTCTTCTTTTCCTCCTCCCTCCCCCCTTCCCCCCCCCTCCTCCCACCTCCTCCCTCTTCTCTTCTTCTCTTTCTTTCCCCCTTCCTCTTTTCCTCTTCTCCCCTTTCCTTAACTTCCCTTCCCCCTTTTCTCCTTCTTTTCTTCTCCTCCTTCCCTTTCCTTCCTTCTCCCCCCCCCCCCCTCTCTTTTCCTTCCTCTCTTTCCCCCCTCTTTCTCCTCCCCCCCTTTCTCTTCTCCCTTCTTCCTCCTTCTCTCTTTCCCCTTCTTCTTTCTTCCCTTCCCCCTTTCCCCCCACTCCCCCCCTCCCCCTTTCCTTCTTCTCTCTCTCTCCTTCTTCCTTCCGCTTCCTCTTTTCCTTTCTCTTTCCCTTCCTCTCCTTCCTTCTCTCTCTTTTCTTTCTCCCCCTTTCCTACTTCCCCTCCCTTCTCCCCTCCCTTTCCTTCCTTTCTCTCTTCTTCCCTCCCCTCTCTCCCTCTCTTTCATCTTTCTTCCCTTTTCTCTTCCCCTTCCTCTTCCTTCCTCTTCTTTCCTCCTTTCCCTTCCCTTCTTCCCTTTTCCTTCCTCTTTCCCCTCCTTCTTCCTCTTTTCCTTTCTTCCTTCCTTTCCCTCTCCTTTCCCCTTTCCCCTCCTCTTTTTCTCTTTCTTCCGCTCCCTTTCTTTCCCTTTTCTCCCTTCCTTTTTCCCCCCTTTCTTTCTCCTTCCTCCCCCTCCTTCCTTCCTTTCCCCCCTTTCTCTTCTCTCCTTTCACCTCTTCCCCGTTCCCGCTTCCTTTCCCCTCTTCCCTCCTTCTTCCCCTTTCCTTTCCCTCCCTCCCCTTCTCCTCCCCTCCTCTCTTCTCCTCTTTTCCTTCTCCCTTTCCCCCTCTCTTTTTTTCTCACTCCCCACCCTTGCTTTCTTTTCACTCCCCCCCCCCTTTTCTTCCTCTCCTCCCTCCCCCCCGCCTTCCTTCCCCTTTTTCCTCCTTTCCCTTCTTTCTCCTTTCCCCCCCCCTCCCCTCTTCTTTCTACCTCCTTTCTCCTTCTTTCCTCTTCTTCCCCTTCTCTCCCATTTCCTTCCCTCTTCCTTTCCTTTTCTTCTTTCCCTTTCTTTCCCCCCCCTATTTCTTTCTTTCCCATCTCCCCCCTTTCTTTCCTGTTTCTTCCTTTTCCCTCCCCCTTTCCTTTCCCCTTCTTTCCCCTTTTCTTCTTCCTCCTTTCCTTCCTCTTCTCTTTCTCCCTTTCCTTTCTTCTCCCTTCCCCCCTTCTTCTTCCTCCCCTTTCCTTCCCCTTTCCCCCTTTTCTTCTTCTTTTCCCTTTTCCTCCTTTTCCCTCCTCTCCTTTTCTCCTCCTTCCCCTTCTCTCCTTCTCCTTCCCCTCCCCTTCCTCCTTCTTCCCTCCTCCCTTCTCTTTCTCTCCTTGTCCCCTCCTATTTCTCCCTTTCCTCTCTTTCTTTCCCCCTTCCCCTCCCAACCCCTTCTCCTCTTCTCCTCTTTCTCCTTTTTTTCCCCCCTCCCTTCTTTTCCCTTTCTCCTTCCCCCTTCTTTCCTTCCTCTTCCTCCTTTCTCCTTTCCCCCCCCCTCTTCCCTCTTCCTCTTCTTCTTTCCCCCCCTTCTCACTCCTCCTTCCTCCTTTTTTCCTTCTTCTTTCCTTCCCCTTCTCTTCCCTATCCCTTCCCTCTCCCCTTCCCCTCCCCCCTTCCCTCTCTTTCCTCCCCTCTCCCCTTCCTTTTTCTCCCCCTCCTCTTCTCCCTGCATCTCTCTT